AAAGTGCATTTAAATTAAAATTTTTGGATAGGCCTTCGACCTAATAAATCCGTGTCAGGTTCTGGTCTAAAAATAAATGAATTTTTCGAGGATCGGGCTCAAATTTTTTTAAAAACTTCGGGCTAGGCCTAGGCCGTAACTGGTTCTACTTTCCCTATTCCAAAAACTAATGATACATATGGTGAATTCCATATCAAATCAACCAAGGTTTCAACACTACCCCTTTCAAATTTTCTTAAATTTTGTATAATGGTAGTATTATATATGGCTGTTTAAAGCAAGTAAAAATGGTACAATTTTGACAAAATTCACCTTATTTATTTTCAAATATCTCGAGAAATAATAGCTTAATAATAGTTCTTTAATATGACATAAAAACAAATATGATCGAAATCTGATTAATAAACCGGATGTATAAAACCGGAAATGGCCATAGAAAAAAAGGTATTTTTTTCAAATTTTTTTTTTAAGATAGATATCACACTGCTTTATATTTGTACAAAATCCTAGACTGGGATGAACATGAGTTTATGAGTTATGACTCTTTATATGGATAAAATTGAATAAATTTAACCCAAAATATCATCATATTTAAATTTTATGAATAGTTATGAAATAATGTTAATTTAAAAATTATGTCTAAATGACAGATCCTTACTTTTTAAAAAATCTTTATCAAAAAGTTTACAGATGTCTGGGATAATGAGCTTGTTTAACACTTTAGTTAAATTTTGTCTTGAAGTTACTTGACAAAATAATTCTAAACATATTTATAACTTTATTTGCCTCAAATTGCATTACATATAATACAATTAAAAATTTATAATTAAAATATATCATTAAAAATTCTGAAATCCCTATTTCCCAACCTCATAGGATTTTCCATCCTATGCTAATCATTCTTTTTTTGACTTTTAATTTCGCCTAGGAGAATAAAAGCATGGAACTTTGTGTTCCAGAAATTCTCTTTGCTCTCAAAAATCTGCTTTCAAGATAACTTTCTAAGTTAATATATTCATTATTGCTCACAAATATATAATTTACCCCATAGATTTCTTGCATAGTTAAATAAATACATTGTTGTTAATATGTGAAGTTCATATGGGCGTTGCAAGCTTGCTCGAGCTTCTAACCGTTTAGTAACGGCCCCTAAGATGTCGCAGGGACTTTTACTTTGTGCGGTTTCAAAAAATGTCCAGTCTTTATCCCAAAATCATTTTGATTGTAGAGATTAATGAAGTCTTTTTTATTTTTATATTGGTTACTGCTCCATCAGAAAAATAATAAATTTTAGCCACTCTATCAAATCTTTCCTTCAAGAATAATAAATAAAATGCACATGCGTTGTGCTTTAAACAATCTAATATAACCACTAAATTCACATGTTTTATTATATTGTCCTCACGATAATAAATCATAAAAGGGTGGATAGTGGCCTGATTATTGGTCTGATTAAATCCTTGTGCATGGTCCTGCAATACAAATGCATAATTTTCTGAAAAGTCTGCAATAACTAAGAATTCGCCAACATTGAATTTTAAAAAGTTTCGAATTAATGATTATCGTGAAGCTATGAACAAATGAGGAATCAAATTGATTAATTATCCAATTAAATAATCTAAAAATTCGTCGGCAGATTTTGTCAGTCTTTCGAGGGTAGTTCGATCAACTGCTATCCATTGTTTGAATGTTATATAATCTATAGAATTCTCTTCAAAAAGATATGGGGGAAAATTTATTGTTGAATTTTAATTTTGGTAGATTATTTTATGCTAAAATTATTTCAAGTAATTTCGAGACAAAATTTAACTAAAGTGTTAAACAAAGCTCATTTCAAAAATTTTGATAAAGATAAAAAAAAGTAAGGGCCTATCATTTAGACAATTTTTAAATTAACTATTTATTAAATTTAAATATGATGATATTTTGGGTTAAATTTATTTATTTTTAGCAATATAAAGAGTCATAACTCCTAAACCTATGTTCATCCCAGTCTAGGATTTTGTACAAATATAAAGCAGTACAGAAAAAAAAAATTTGAAAAAAATACCATTTTTTTATTTCCGGTTTTTTACATCGATTTCTATCATATTTTTTTTATGTCATATTAAAGAACTATTATTAAGCTACATAATAAAATTTAAATTATTTTTCTAATACAATTATTTCTCAAGATATTTGAAAATAAATGTGGTGCATTTTGTCAAAAATGTACCATTTTCCCGCGCTTTAAACGGCCATATCTTAGCGGGTAAACAGTGTTGGAAGGTAAAATTTCATTTTTTTCCAAGTTATAGTATATACTACCAGTATACAAAATTTGAGAAAAATTGAAGGGGGTCGGGTTAAGAATTGATTTTTTTTTATCGATTTGATATGGAATTCACCATATATATATATAAGAACCCTCCCTAACAGATTAACAAATATATAGGTCTACACCGATAACACAATTCAGTTTGCCTGAATTGGGCTCGGACTTTGGCAAAAAAATTTAATTTTTGTTTACTTAATTTCACCTTTATAAATCTTCTTTTCTAGAAAAAAATAATTAGATAATTTTAATTTCCTCGAGCGCTTATATATTTCACTCCTGTTTCATTAAAATATAAATAAAATTATAAAATCTTTTAATGAGATTGTTAATACATTATGATCGTACTCAGGCCTGATTTGAATTTGGATGGTATTTCTGAAAGTTCTGGCCGAATGATACTCCAATTTTGAAGTTGGATCTGACCCGGCATCTTAATTGGTAAATTTCAGTTTTATTTAAAATATAAATTTTAATATGTTTGCTTCTTATTATTATAAATTAAGTCGCGTAAAGTCCTCTTCATTATAATTCTGATTTGTAAATGTATCTATTTCGTATTCGACAATAATAGGATTTTGGTATCTAATCAATGTATCGCGTTAGTATACAAATAAAACCACCAGAGTATGGAAATAAATATCAATTAGATTTAAATCGCGATTATCAATATATTTTTTTTTATTTCGACATTGGCATAATAATTATTAAAAAGCATCACTTACTAATCACCATTTACCACTAATAATCATTTGAATATTATTTAAACTTAATTTTGCAGCTTAATAAGTTAAAATTATTTAGTGGTCTTTTTTATGCGTAAAAATAAATATAATATAGAATTTTTTCACCATTTATTCGATTTAACAGTAAAATAATTCTCAAATTATATATCTTGCATTTTTTAAATATAAATTTAACAATAACAAATTAAATAAATAAGATTTCATCATTAAAATATTTAAAATGAAATACTAATTTTCCAGCCTTTTCTACTATCTAACCAGGTGTGTCAGCTATGTTTCATGTTTGACACTATCTTCGATGATTTTTTTTGCAATACATCTAAAAATAATGTGATTGAAATTAGTATCTTTTAAATAATCTATTGAGACTGAGATATTTATAACTATTTGGTAGTATTTATTTTTTTTCGATTTTCTTTACAATTTTGGGTTTTTAAAAAATCATTGACTTAAATATACCCTGAAAACAAGAAATCTTAAAATAGCCTGGTCCATTGATATAAACATAAATTAAAAATTATTGGCTTACTTTGTTAGTAATAATATAATATTATATGATTAATTACATGCATGTTTCAATTAATAGATCATAAAAATTTTTAATTTGCCATTTTTTTTCCAAGTAAATATTTTAATTTAATGATAGTGAAGGGCACCGGTCTTTGATCCAGACCGGGCTATGCACTCAGATCGGACTAAATTCTTAAAATAAAATTGATCAAGACCGTGGTCTTAAATAAAAAGACCGGTCTTTTTATTTTTTTGTTAGTTTAAAAATATTTTTTTTACCCAATCTAATTCTTGTTTATTGGGACTATAACTAAATGGTTTTTGAATTAATGATTTTCATTTTGCAAAATAAAAATAAACTAAAAATTGACAAAAACTTTTATAACATAAAGTAAAATTTACAAAAAAGTTAATGGGTCAGAATAAAAAGACCGGTCTGGACTGGGGTCAACAAAAAGATTGCTCCGTTAATCGGTCTTGGTTTAAGACAGATAGAACCAGACCGTTGACCTCACTATTAATAAGTAAAAATTACATTATAATTAAAATATAATATAATTATTATTTAAAAATTAAAAATTTTGATTGAAATTAGGACATTTTTCTAAAATTATGTTTGGTTTGGAATATTAATTACTCATCGTTTCAACATGGTAAACAATAACATATATTTATATAAAACATTTTTTTCAAACTAGAATAATCTTTCTATTATATTGTATCTAGTTGATATTGAATATTCTCTATCTGTAGGTGAGGGTATAAAATAAAAAGATTCAGATTTCAATATCGTTATTAATAATAAAAAGTTTCTAATATGATAATTACTTTAACCTCTTTCCCTTCTCCAAACGTAAAATGTCCAGGTTTTATTCTTATTTTCTTCTGGATTGTGTAAAATCATGTTCAAGATGCCAACAAAATTTACTATCAGCACTTAATACTATCTAGAAATGCCACTTTTATTATTTCTTCTCTTAAGGAACTGCTTATATAGTAATAATTATGTCATTTTTGACAAACTATCATATATGTATTGTATACTAATACATATAAAAGTATATATCTCATATTACTTTTATATTTCCATCTTCCTATCAGAAATAGAGGATTAATTTTTCGCTTCAATTTAATTATTTTATAAATTTGATAACATGAGAGTTATACAATACGAATATGATAAATTAAAATGATGAACTATATAATTAATATTACATACATAAATGCTACACAATGCAATTAGTGTTTTGAACCCCCCCTTCCCAATCCAATCTTTTACATATATTATCATTGTTATTAAAATAAAATATAGTTCTCATGTGCTGTCCATACCCTAAAAAAATTTTATGCCAGCCCATCTAGTATAAGTATAAAATAACCAATCTTAAAAATATAGTCATTTAATTTTTTTATGTATAAAATGGAAACAGGGAACGCCTCAAAATAGAATCCTGATGTCGAGTCTCGAACAGGATTTGGATTTTCCAAATCAGGAAAAACGCACAGCTAGGTTAACCGATGGCTCAGATTTATCGAATGGGAGATTGCAAATATTTTATAAAAATAAATGGCGTACTATATGCACTCAATCCTTCAAGTACATATTAATATTTAAAGTATTGTAAATATAATAGGTTATTTTATATGGCATACTTAATAATAAATGAGTTTATTTAAACAGTAACAATTGTTGAATGATGATTTTATAGATAGAACAGACCAATAATTCAGTATCTGAATGAAGTTTTTTATTTATCTTCACCCCCCCCCCCTTATTTACCATCGTAGCGATATTTTACTATATTTTTATTTATCTGTTTTAATAATATATTCTTAAAAGTTGGTCATTTGTGACGGAAAACCCAGAATATTCCTCTCAAAGGTATTGGAATCAAAAGGATATAACTATAGCCTGTCGCGGTGCTGGATTCGACAATGGGACCTTTGATGGCTGGTTGAATAAACAGTACGAATCAGATCACGTACTATTAGGTTCTCCTAGCTGTTTTGGGGATGAAAAAGAGTTGCAACAATGCGCTAATTGGAAGCGTGCAAGAACGGGGAAAGGAATATGTGGTATTTATTTTTAAATTTTTATCCATTTATTTCAAACATTTAAAATCGAAATTTAATATAAAAATTCCAAATTTAAGGCTAAATCTTAACCTTTATATAATATTTTATTTTATTGCTCATATACGCAATCTGATAACCTTAATTGAGATTTTCTTATATATTTACAGGGGAACCGGGAGAAAATTACATTTTAGGCATAAGGTGTTGGAATGACGCTTGCCTGGGGGACTCTTGCTTCAAATTTTTTAAAAATTGGCGAGGAATATTCTTTAAAAATTCAAGCCACTTTTCAACTGTAACCTCTTTCGATTCAGAAAGCTCTAAACTGTTCAACATCGATCAAAACGATTATAACTCGCACATTAATGATCGTAACAGACCCTTACAGCCTTTCCAAAACATATTTTACAACGAGCGTAACAGGCACGAGATCGAGAAGCGTATTGTGAATCAGGTAAATTGGCAACACAATAGATCAAGATCCAGGTTGGATTTCATCGACCTCACCTACGCGGGCAGGGATAGATACGGTAAAAGAGTCGCCGCTATCAAAGCGGAAGGCTACGCGCCCGCCCTGAATTCGGTCAACATTAAGTATTGTCATTTCACGGCACTTCACTATGACCGTATATTGGGTTCTCCCGTAATTCGTTCTTCTAATATCGCTTTCAACCAAGGTAATATAATAATTATGAAAAATTATTTTAAATTTCAAAATCGCCTTATTTAAAAATTAAAAAAAGGAGATGGAATCAATTTAAACGCTCGTATCATAGGTAATGTAACGATAGAAGGAACACGCATCGCGAATAATTATGGTAGGGGGATTATATATAGCTTAAATTCGATTATCGATACCCGGAATTTCGATTTTTGCTCCCGTCCTTATTTGGGATTGAATCAAGTTTACCCCGTCATCATCTCAGGGAATCAACATTCGCAATGCAAGCAAGTATATAAAAGCTAAAAATATTTTATAATTACTAATAAAAAATGTTAAACAAACAAAAATAATCTCGTTAAAATTCACCTTTTTAAAAATTTTTGCATATATTATGCTATTTTTAATAGTTTTAAAACCTTAATCCACACAAAATTTGTACCTCATTATTTAAATTTAATCCATGCAAAAAATTATACACATTATTTTAGCTCTTTCCGATCTGATTATTTTAAAATTCACCCCAAATAAAAATATTATGAGAACCTTAATTGATTTTATTTCAAACTTAATATTTATTATTTTCTAATTTAATTAATCTAGTAATTTTTTGGTATACAGTATAACCTTGTTATATTTAACCGCCAAAACCTGAAATTTAGTTACTATAACCAACGTTAATTATATCCGATTACCAGATATGGTTAACTCTTATTTAACTTTGATTAATATAGCTAACTTTTTAAACTATATTTCGGGTATTCTCTTGATTATTGTTTTGTTTAATTTTAAACAAGCTTTTAATTATAAATTGTATAAAAATAATAATTTTAATTCATATATTGTCGCTAATAAAATATTTAAGAATTAACTATATATAAACATCATAAGATAGGCAGAGTTTATTTCACAATAACGAGTAGTTAATTAAACCCAATTATTTAACATTAGATCAGATAGACTTCTGACTCTACTTTCAAATTTGATTAAAAACAACTAAATTTATTGATATCCCAGTTAGCTGTAAGATAGTTTTACCACATTGTAAAATTATTTTAAATTTATTTAAATTAATTTTTTTAATTACAGATCTTTTTGACAAAACACGGTTATTTTACCATACATTTTTCCCACCTGCGTTCGAACTTAGAAAGCTTAAATCTAACCTCGCATAAACGAGCCTACATAGAAATTAGGGACGGTTCAGAAAGTTACGATAAGTTGATAGCCAAAATTTATTTCAAGGATTTTTTGTCCCCGCAAAGCATAGTAACCACCGGTCCAAAGGTTTCGATGAAATTTTCTTACTCCTCACCTCTATCTTTCCAAGACAAGCTAAACGATATACGCATCTCATTTTCACTTTATGTAGTCAATAAGAATTGTGAGTGTATATCTATAATCTGATTGATAGTATATAATAATAATTTTTTTTTAAAAAAACATGCTTACTCAGTGGTGTAACAATCACGTTAGAAGAGGCGGCCCGAATCTGGGTCCTAATTTTATTTAGTTGGGTAATGGCAGATCTGAACCATATGAGTCAAAAAAATCTCCGCTTTATTCAAAGTTGAGTTATCCTTTTTTTTTAAAAAACCCAGCATAGGTTATGGTCCGCTAAAATATTGATTTAACAGTTTTTTAATTAGGCGCAAACTGGAGCTAATAGTATAGATATGCCAATTTTTTAATATCAGATCTGCGGATATCTTTAAACTGGAGATCCAATGTATCAAAAATGGTAGATTATAAATTATTTTTATTTCAATATCATTATTATCATTGATCTACAAAAAGAGGTACTTCAAATTAGATCGTCATAAATTTTATTTTCATAACTATTAGGGTGTTATTATTGTCACAATAATTATATATTTATAAATAACTGAAAATTATTAAATTATTTTAGTTACCCGTTTATGTTTAATCAAAAGGGAAGGAATTGCTTGACACTTTACGTTAATATAATTGGACATTTATTTATGTTCAAATTATCCAAAATAAACATTATCCTTAATTTTTTAGATCAATTTATTACATACTTTCTTAAACCTTTATAATATAAATTTTTATTTTTAAAACATAAATTATATAAAATAAAAATCGCAAATGAATATTAAAAATATTTCATATTTAATATCTTAAAATCTCTCTATCGACTAATTATTTTCATCGGACAATGGTTTGGTTTTACTGGAATCCTCTGTCTAAATTTAATAAAAAAAATGAGATATGCAAACATAGAACTTAAAATAAATGTCATTTGATAAAAGAGGGTCAAATATTTTTGGGAAATATTTACAAAAAATGTGTGAGATCTAGATTTCAATTCTACCTAAAAGAATTATGACCCTCATTTACAATAAAGTTGACGTAACCTAGCCAGTATTAGAGCTATAATGGCGACTATTTTGATTTCTCGAACGTTAAGGGCGTTCATTTTGATTTGAATATTATACTTTTCTAATCTCTCATCATTTTTGATCAATATCAATAAAACGAACATCTTTGAATAATTCATTAAATGTAAAAAATTTTGCTTTCAAAATTATTTACGGATTTTTTTTTGGTCTAGCGACGCATATTTATTTTATTTGTATATTTTTGGTTTATTCTATTCCCGATGAACATTTCCCCTATAATTCTCTTATAATAAATTAGATAGGATATTGGTGATAGGCCGATGCCAACCTTGATATAGGATCGGCCTCGATAAACAGTATCGGTAAACCTCTAGCAACAAAATATACCTTTTAGTAGTCCATAATTTAAACAAAAGGATTACTTACTTAGAGTGGGGATGAGTTCTAAGACTTTTGGTAGTTCAGGGCTAGAATGAATTTGGCGGGAATCCCTACCCTCTCAAGTTACTTACGATTGGAAATAAAATTAATAATGAACTAGATTTGAAAGCAGCTTAGGATATGAATAAGGTAATATTTATGCAATAATTTATAGTAAAATAATAATAATTTTTTATTAATAACTGCATAATGGATGTAATATTTGTACTTTTTCTATTATAAAACACTTAATTCAAAATAAACAAAATTTGGCTGGCCCAAAATAGTATAATTTTGGCTTTTGGCCTGCTCCTCCCTGCACGGGACTATACCAAGATGTTTTGAAAATGTTTGCTTGTAACCAGGCCCGCAGCATCGTTGTTACGTCATTGATGGTCAAAATCAATCATAATAAAATTATTGTTATATGTTCATTTAGCGCGAGATTTAGACATAAAGGACTCGATCATCAACGACAACGGAATGCAGGGGATATTGGTAAATGGATATAGGAATGCTATTGAAATAATGAATACAAACATTTCATCAAATCATCACATCGCAGGGGTTCAGATCGAGAGCGGAGCCGGGAATATCTTGATCGAAAATGGAACTTTCGAAAGCAATCATGGTTCGGCAGTAAATATAACTTATTCAGGCGGCTTGATTAACATAACCAAATGTACGGTTCATGAAAGTGAAGGATACGGCGTAGCCCTCAATGTCCACAATAATAGAAATGATGATCGTGCTTATTTAAACCCTGGTATCATGTCTAAGGAAGCAATGGTTTCAATATTTGCACTCACAAATAGCAATCCGATGCTATTCGTTCACGAATGTAATTTTATGAAAAACCGCAAAAGCTCAATATATTTAGGGAATTACCTGCGGGAAATAATGGCGTTGGTATCGAACATACGGGACAATATTAACAATTACCCAGAAATTCAAGCAATGCCTAAACATTATTCGGTATCCATAATTTATAACAAATTTTTGTTGAATTACCATTATCCGATCCATATTGATTTTAGTGAAGATTGGCGGACTGATAACCTAAATTCTTATAACATGACAATATTTACCAATATTAATAATAACACTTTCGAAGGCAACCTTAGACCTGGGCTCAAATTCTTATATCATCATGGGATGAAACTTAAGGCTAGCATAGGTTCAAACATATTTTCTAACAATAGTAAAGGCGCAATTATAATTCAAAGTTATCGAGAAAACGAATTCAAGGATACTGATACACATTTAGACTCCTTCAATAACCATTCTAATAATAGATATAATGATTTTTACGGGCAAGGAGCTGAAGTAGATGTTCATTACAATTATTTCATCCGAAATTCTGGAAATTTTGTCATGTTAATCGGCCTTATATCTAAACCCTATTATGGACCAGGAAGACTTCATGTCACTTACAATTACTTTGTCAACAACATCATTAGAAGTTACGCCCGATCTTTAACTAGCACTTACAACACTAAATCCAGGAGTCAGATCCACGCTGTGGTAGCGATAACTGGATGTTCCGTGGCAAACCTAAAGGTGGAAAGGAATCATTTTGCTAATGCGCCGATTTTTTCAGATTATGAACTTGGCACCCGGTGCAAAGATAGATTAGCCGTATTATCTGCCCGATTTAATTGGTTTGAATCTAAAAGCATCATAGACCAGTTACAAATTAATGAGATTTATGACAAAGTGTTCGACCAAAAATTTCGTTATAATCTAGCCAAATTTGATATACATCCTTTTCTCAGAACCTCTAACCTAAACGGACCGACCTCGAACACACCTTTTACCAGAAATTTTTTGCGGGTCACTAAAGACTCTGATTATATAATTGGTGGAATGCTAGAAGATCGTTTCTATTTAACGCGTGAATATTCGCCTTACACAGTTAACGAAGATATTTTTGTCACGCGAACTGGCGAACTGAGGGTTGATCAAGGGGTCGAAATCAGATTCGAAAATGGGGTCGGTATGTTTGTTGAGGGAAAATTATTTGCGATAGGTTTAGAGAGTGCATATCCGCCTAGATCAGGAAATATTTTATTTTTGCAAAAAAACACGTTACTACCGAGTTATTTTTTGAATGAAGATTACCTCTCTAAAAACCTAAGCGTCGATGAGGCCAATGTTACAATGAAAACCAAAGGCGTCTACGATTACTATGATTCTAACTCCACGACAAGCGCTTATTACCAGCCTATCAATGACGATAAAAAAAATTGGGAAACTATTTTGCAGGAAGAAGAAACATTGTATCGCAAAATCAAGAACGAAGAACTGGAGTTTCCCAAAAACGTCAAAGTTCTCAACGACCTTATAAATGAAAAATTTCGTCAACGTTCTCGGAATATTTTGATAGGCCTGGACGGGAGACTCCATGTGCATATTAACGGTAGTTGGGGTACGGTATGCATCAAAGGATGGACGATTAGAAACGCTATGCTAGCTTGTAAATCGATGGGTTTAGTGCTTGACAAAAGATCTTGGAAACTAAAAGCTCCCCCGGCAGTTAAAGGTCGAGGCTGGAGTAACAAAGAGATCCCTTATCCGTGGCCCATTTTAATGAGCGAGGTTAATTGTGACGAGTCAGACAATGATATAACGGAGTGCAACCATGAATTAGAAATCGAGCATTCTTGCTCCCACGATGATGATGTGGCCTTGAAATGCCTGATTCCCAAATGGGCTGGTATATTAAATGTTTATTATATTATAATTTTTTCGATATTTATTCTTAATTCGAAGAAAAGCATTTCTTTAACTAAAATATTTCATAATTTTTTCCCCAATCCCATCAAGGTATACGATTCGGCTTTTTTTCTCAAAAAAGCGAGATGAACCACGTGATCATTCAAAACAGCGGAATTTTTGATATGGATACAGGAGAAACTGCTCCTGCTCTTACATTAGACTTAAACATTCATGATTTAAAACATGTGGAATTGGATCGAAATTACTTTGGCGGGCTCAGAGTAATATTTAACGACTACTTAAAGCCTCAAATCATCGAGCACAGTCGTATTTCATTTAATGAAGGAAACGGTGTTACCTTGCATACCCCAGGCGTTTCCTTCCTGTTCTGTTCGTTTTCGGATAACTCTGGAGCTGGTATTCATTACAACCCATACTTGACAGAATGGCAAACCGAAGAAGTGTTCAAATGGAACAAGGATTTGCGATATCCAAACGCTGAAATAATTTCTATGGAGGAGGTCGATACTATGATCGCTAAAGAATACGTACTTCAAAATGATAAAGGTATATATTTATATTTTGGGCGACAAGATTACGCAACTCCGTATGAGAAAAATTTGAATATATCCACTTTTAGGAGTAATGTACTGACGGCGCAACTCTTTGGATCTATTATTGACTCCTCTAAGACTTTTAAATTGGAGATTATAGACCACTTTCAAACATATAAACGCGTTATCGACGTTAGCAAGAGTTGGGCTGATTTTCCCTTTATATCTATCACTTGGAATTTAAATATTCACTATAACGTATTTGGCAATATACCACATCCTCCCTTTATCTTGTACATTAAAGCAATAAAAAGTAAAATTATTGTTTTTTGTAAAGATTTTATTTTTTTTGAAAATTTTAAATTACACAATAGACTCCATTATTTAACATCATAATTTTTACATTTATTTAATGTAACAGTTCCAGTCCGAACACAAATTACTCCCTATATAAGTATCTTGAATTCAACGGTTTTGCGAAATTCGGAGGGAGCCTCAATAACTCTATATGATTCGTTAAATAACAAAGATATCTTCACACCGTTCCCGGATCTAGCGTATATGACACAAATTATAAAATCATACAGTTCCATAACCAGGAATTTACACTCGGGGGGAGGGGGGATTTAAAATTACTTGTACTACAAAAATAAGACTAATAAATAGTATACTCTAATATCACATCAATTTAAAAAATTTCACAAATTTCATTTTTTAGGGTAGCTGAAATTTATTTCCACCAGATAAGCCCCAAATGTAACCCTATTTACGGCCCGGACTATATATTTTCATTCTAAATCTAAATGCATATTTAACTTTAGATTATTTCATAATGATTTGCATCTGCGATATTCTAACCTAACATTCTTGTTAACCGGCACTAATTTCGAGGAGAACTCAAGATCTGCGATTACGCTGAATTCGCCCTTCCACAATACTCAACAATATTCTATCGTCAACGCGACCATCATAATCGAGAACTGCAATTTCAAAAAAAATCTAAAGATATGGTCGACGAATGATTTGTATTGTTATGACTCTAATAACATCTGGACGATTATAATGATTCACAACAATTTTCATACCAATTTTGCAGGTTTTACCATTTTATTTAACATTTATAACAGTGGCGTCGCTAATAATTATTATTTATGCATACATCATCAAAACGCACTTTGCCTAATTTGAAAAATTTATGAGTGCTCGACCTCATCTGAATTATATAATTTTAAAAAAAGAAAAAGTAAATATACATTTTTAAAATAATACATTTAGGTTTGGATATGTACTTCCCTTTCCTAATTAGCGACTATTCGATATCGAGAAAAGATATTAACCGGTTGCATGCCCGTCATAGTTTATGGTTGTACAACAATACTTTCGAAAATAATCGGAATTTCTCTTTCAAAATTCAAGGAGCTTACTTGAATATGACCCTCTCGAGAAACGTATTTCAAAATAATGTTGGTATAAAACTCCGGGAAACCTGTTGGGGAAAATCTAAATTTTTAGACTTTATTAAAGCAAAAATACCGTTCGGGATACTAGAAATAGAAGGGGCCAATAAAATCATTAACCTGCTTAATAATACTTTTGAGGGAAACAAAGCTGATTTGATTTTAAAAATCAATATTGACTCCAATGATGGACCTATTATTTTTAATCCTTCTTTAACGAAAAACGCTTCCTCTGCAGAAACTATATCATCCAATTTCGTATCAATCATCAAATACAATTATTTTAGACACAATTCACCCCTATTAGATTATTCTCCTTCCAGTAAAAGTGTCACCAATCATTTTTCTAATTATTTAATAGGCATATTTGGTATACAACCTGTTACGCTGAATTATAATGCATTTCAAATTAATGATTACAAACATTGCTTGATAAGCGGGTTAAAATATAAATCAGCCCTGAATATTGCTCTTAAGTTTTCCAGAGTTGAACACTCGTTATCTTACCCATCTATAGATGCTAGATATAATTACTGGGACACCCATGACAACATTCAAATACGCTCGAAAATTTTTGACTTTTACGAATGGAATTCTTTTGTAAACACGATATGGTATCCGTATCTTTCCATACCAGATCTCGACAATTCTCCCCATTTCCATGGATCCTATGAGCCGCAACATTTTGATCCGGATTCTAAATTTATAGGAGGTTATTTAATTAAGGATGCGATTCTACTTAAACGCCCACAGTCTTACATAGTGATCCACGATATCACAATACCTCAAGGCGTAACCTTAATGATCGGAGAGGGTGCGGAATTGAATTTTGCACCAAACATAGGTATTTTGGTGTACGGAAGTTTAAAATGCGAAGGAACATCTGACCAAAAAATAATATTTGACGTCATTAACAACGAAGAATCACAAAAGGAAGGAGAAAATAATAGAGTCAATAAGCGATCTTATCCTAACCATTATTTCAAAGCGAATGCTACGAGCGAAGATAAATTGAGACGGTCATCCCCTAGTCTAACATCATTTGGACAAGTTAACGATTACAATTATTTAAATTTTGATTCCAAGTTTCCATTTTTATTGCGAATGGCGGGTGGAATTTTAGGGCCTAATGAAGGATTCCTCGAATACTTAAATTCTACCCATCAACAATGGTTCCCATATTGCGATACCTACTTTTCGGGTGTAAACGCCAAGATTATATGTGGATCTTTGGGATTTTCCTACGACAATGCCTACCACTATTCCGGCTGGCGAAGTGATATCGACACCTTTTGGATAGACCACGTTAAATATTGGGCCCACCCGCTCGATTGTCATGGCAACGAGAAGTTATGGCAAGAATGTCATCCACGGCTGATCAACAATCAAGTTCAACAACATACTAAATGCTACGATCGAAAAAATCACATCTACTTAAGGTTTAAAAAAAAATATGTGGAAAAATTATGCATTCATTTTAAATAAAATTATAATATTTATAAAATTTAGATGTCAAATTAAAGATTCCTCATTTATAGAAAAAACGTTTTGGGGCAACATAAGATTCATGAATCCATTCACAGATCATTTTCACTATAATGGAGAGGATTATGATTATACTCTTCTGAGGGATATTGACAAAGATTATCCATCGATGATTTCCGTTCTGAACAACGTTATCGTCAAAAATGCAGGTCACTTACATGGGATGAAATCTTCGGCCATTCAAATATCCAATGAAGCACAAGTCGATATTGATGGATTGACAATTGAAGGGTGCGCATGGCACGGTATGCACTATTTTAATCCATCTAATGACATTGATTTGATATCGAGAAATGATGAAATCATTATTCGCGATAATAGAGGCTTAGGAATCAATAGCATAAATTTATTAGACTCCGGGAACGCCGACAAGACCTTTGAAGATGGCAAGAAAACTCAGGCATTTAACTATGCAAATTATTTAGACCCATCCTTGTTTGGATCTTCCGCAATATTGGATATATGTGATGGCGGTATGCCTATTACAATATCCCCTTTAAAACAGAGGCCTTTACTAGTAGGTTATGCGTATGATGATACGCCTAAGAAACGATGTCTCCAAATATTTAAAATTTCTAACCAAAAGACATTAGGATTCCGTATAATGGTATGCATATAATATTTTTTCATTTATTTATTTTTATAATTGGATAAGCACGCAAATATTCCTTCATCTCAAGTCTCACCTTTCGCTAAAACCACCATCATTATATACAAAGATGAATCCTTTATTCAGGAAAACATTATTGTTGAGCTAAATTCTACGAATATAAACTCCAAAAAATTATATGAATCTTTGACTAATAAATTGGGAATTTTTATGGAATCAGATTCTGGAGATTTCACCGAATCTTGGGTTGGAGAAATAATCAGTTTCCCATCCTCGATATATTACAGTATATAAAGATAATTTATTTTATATTTAGCAATATTTAAAATTTTTAGAACAAACCACGCACCACCTAGAGAGCTTGACCTTTAAAAATAATCTTCTTGGTGCTGTAAATTTTGTCAGTGTCGGGCAGACAACTCCAAATCTGCAAGTTGAAAAAAATAGAATTATAAACAACGGGTTTCATTCTCATAATTTTTCAAGTCCGCTAGCCATTATAACCATGAATGTGCAAGTATATTTTACACAATTAATATGTAGTTATATATATTTTGTGTCTATCTTAGAATATTCAAAATTTATTGTTCGTCAATAATTTCGTTGGAAATAATTACGGAAACATATTTCAACTTCAAAGTTTTTCTGACTCGAGTACTATGTCATTAAATGGTATCATAAATAACAATGTGTTTAGTCAAAATTCCTATGGGGCTATAATGAATTTGTTGGGAAGCGATCCATCTAAGACTAATCAGAATGTTAAAATATCCGAGTGTCTAATTGTTGATAATTACTCACCCTTGGGAGAGACTATCAGTATAAAACATCTTATCGTTAATATGAGTCGAAATATCATTCTAAATAACGTGGCAGTAAAAAATATTTTAGCAATACATGGCTTTGAAGATGTTATTCCGCATATAGCTCAATCCTTTTATTCGAATCATATGTACAATAATACCGTTATGGAAATACCAGGAGAAAAATATCTTTTACAGAAGTCTATAAGTTCCCAAAAATTAATGTATTCGTCTACCTTGTCAACTATATTTGTCGGAAATTCGTTTCAAGAATATATTTATAATTATTTCGACAATCCCAAAAATGACTATGAATTATCATCAAATTATAAATACAAGTGAATATAATTGTCTCATTAAATTTTTATGTTTCATTTAAGTTGGGATCTTTGGGAAGGCCCTATAATGGCTCAGCACAATTGGTGGGGAACGAATTATAAATCGGCTATACATGGAAGAATAAGAGATAAAAGCGATGACAAAAGTCTTATTCAAGTCAAAAGTGAACCTTATTCCATTTTAAATGCCTCTTTTATTCAAAGTAAAATTATAAAATAAATATTTTTTCACAATTTTTATATTATTTAGATTCATGCCCACCCGGTTGGGCGAATTTTGAAAAAGAACGATGTTTTCTATATGTGGGCGGGGCGGTGACATTTAAAGAAGCCATTAATTTCTGTACCAAACAGGGTGGCACGCTGCCATACCTTATTACGAGTACGAAGATGCTTAAAGAATTTGTGTATTCACGTCAATACCCTTATTCTCCTCAAATGATGATTTGGGTTCAAAAGCAACCTAGTGCCTATTTAAATAATTACGATAAATGTTATGCATTAGTTGACGAAGTTATCGAGGAAGTATCATGCAAATATATATTGCCGTTCATATGCGAAATAAGTGATAACAAATACTTTTATTAAAATGAATCCTAATTAATTATAAATTTTTTAAAATATAATTTAAAGAAGAAGGCTGAAAAACATTTTTAATTTTTTAACTAAATATAAGCAGATGCTACATTGATTTTTAAGAATGGAGCTTAAAAAACTTTTGTTTTAATTGTGGAGTGCACACAAGAATTTTTTTTGTTTAAGTGCTAATAGATATTTTAAAAAATTTTAATCCTTCAATTCTAATTGAATAAACTTCAGGGTGCAAAAAATATTAATATAGGCATGTGATATTAGTAATGCTAATATTTGACATCATAAGTAAATACCTTTAAATATGAATGAAATTAACTATTCTATTTAATATATTAGATCCTATTATGGGCTTATTCGTAACGGACTGGATAGCTAAACCCTACAACATAATAGCTCTAATTTTGCTAGCCATAACTTTCGCTTTCATACTTGTAGCCATCTATATGTGGCGAACCAAATCACGTCGAAGGAAAACCCAGGCTTTCAATCGGCGAAATTCTTTACGATCTTCCATCCGGTCTAATCGTTCTATTCGATCAATTCGCTCCATTAAAAGTGGCTCGGGGAGTATGGCTTACCGAAGTAATAAAGGGTTTTGAACATACAATTCTACCATGGAAGGAGGGGGGTGGGGGAATATGACACTAGATTTTCATAGAAAGGAGGTAAGGTTTTGGTAATTTTGATTTGTATTTTCTTCTTTTTTTTATTAATTTTGATTTTGGAAGGGGGTGGAGTTTGTCATTGGCTTAGCAGGGTGCAGAAATGCCTAGTTTTAAATGACTATAATATGAAACGTTATTTTTTTTGGAAAACTAATTATTCTTAAAGGTAACGGGGGCATGCCATCAAAATGTAACTCACTGCCGTTCGATTACTCTAATTCAACCGATCTTTATTCTTTAGGAGGGGCCACAACTTTACGAACACTTTCCGAAGCTGGTTTTCAAGAGTACAGAGATGGAGCCCCTTCATCCTCAATCGTCGATGAAAGTGCTTTCAATACGATTAGAACCGAAAGAAGAAAGGGGGTATCCCAAGGCGATATAGAATCAAACAGCTTTTACGATTGTTACAAAGGGGAAAATATGGGAGGAGTAAGTGCTGTAGGCGGTGGGGATACTTTCAACGATTCCAATAGCGATAGGAGCGGCACCGCTCTTCTATCTTTTGGAAAGGGATATAACAATTTAGAGGGAAATAGCCATGCTACCTCCGAATTGACCAATGTCAAAGAAAAAGGAGGCTCTAGAAAAACGTACGCCGACATTATATACGATCCAGTCGTTAAAGGAGTCGAAATCCAAAAAATGGACGACTCCGTTGAGCCAAATCATTATACTCAGCCTTCGATGCTGCCAGACGAGTACGACCGCGATAACAAGGATAGATCCAGGGGAGTCGTCGATAGTGCCTACGATTCCAACGAAAGCAAAGATTTTTTTAGTGATAGATTCTTTTACAACAGAGCCAATAACGGACACTTTCCCTTAGGTGACGGAGACATCGTATTAAGCGCACCATCTAGTGATCATGATAAATACGATTCACCCTTCAGCCCTGATGATGCGAGTAAAAAAAGTGTGGATGAAATCATATATCACGTGCCCAATGTTGATTCGAGCTATTTCGACATCCATGGGAACCAATTGGGCCTGAACAATGCTCAAATGGGCGACCATATGAACAACAACAATGACCAACCGTGTTATATAAATATAACGTCTAAAAATAAAAACACTTCAAAACGGACTTCCGATTTCCCTTTGCAATCTGATCGCAGTTTGACATATTACGCTGCAAATCCTACGGAATTTGATAATAATTTTCCCGACAAATCATCATCCATAAATCTAACGCAAAATAATATTGATAACAAAATCGTTAATAAATCGAACGACAAACTTCACACAAAAGAATCCGATGTTTGATGATATTTATAGTACGCATACTTATGTATCAGTATCTCATATTATTGCTCAGAATATAAAATATTCTCATTTTTTTTAGTATTATACACAAATTAGTGGTGTATCATGTTTACTAGTCAGTTGTTCATTGTTTAATAGTGACATATAAATTGTAAATAATAAAGAGTTTTGTATAGAATATACTATAATTATAATATATGCATTTAATTTTATAAAATGGTAAAAATAAAAAGACATATTTGTTATATTAATTTATATATAAAACTATTTATTAAATAATTCTTTCTTGATTAAAATAATATAAATATTTTATAAATCATAGAGATAGAACCATCGAGGGTTTGGAGTTGCATTTTATATCATTTTACCTATTTAAAATAAGTTTTAAAATGATGATTTAACTCAGGGTTTACAGCTCCCCCCCCCCATCAGTAGGAGACTCCCGTATTTTTTAGTTTACACGCAGACATCTCCCTCCCTTAAAACTCTCGCAATTGAAGATCTCCCACAATTTTAAAATTTCTCCTGCATTATTTTTATCATGTTAACGTTTTTAATAGTAATTTTTAGAAACAGTAGATTTACATTTTCAAAATAAATTTTTTTTCAAACATGTCTAGTTTGATTTTTTTTCTTCCATATATTTTTATCAAATAATAACACAACATCATAATAACCATGTGTGTTACTTAATTCTAGGAATTAGAATAGGAACATTTTATCTGGACTGGATTATATTTCCTTGATATTGAATCTCTTTTCCTCTAATTAAATCATCAAATTCTATCGGACTTATTTCTACAATATAATTATATTATTTATTATAGTTCACTTTGAGCAAGAGCAATTCTTTATCATTATAACCAGTTATTGAAAACATTGAATGGCATAATTTCTTAATATTTCGAATTATGAAGAAACAATCATCAATTAATTTCTAATTTAACAGTGTCAAGCACAGGCACCACATATGATATGGAGTGGCGGAGTTAGTACGACATGTTCCTCTCAGATGATTATCAGTAATACTAGACATTGATAGATTTTTAAAATATCATGAACCTCTAAAATGATATCTTTTAAATAGAAATTTTAAAAGGTGTTTAAATATTTTGAATTATAAAAATGGATTGGCGGAGGCATATTTAGAAATCTACATGCTGTTAATATGCAATTAAACAGAAGAATCTTTGTTAATACATATTCATAAAATTATGTTACATCTATGTTAATTTTTACAGCTAAAGATTTATAATAAATTTTACGGCTCTATTGTTAAAAATGTCATTTTCAATTTTATAAGTGTTGCTCTAATTAATGACTTTTTAAATGATACAGATTTTTTACCATTAAAATTTGATATTAATAATTCTATTTACAAATGTATTAATGTGATGACTCTGGAAAAAAATTCATATATTATTAATACAGCTTATTGATATCTTGTTTGAGGAGATTGTTCTCTCTATTTTTATGATTTTCCAGAGAACTCCAAAATAAATGGTCTAAAAGCATTAGAGAAATGGTATAATTTTTTCATAATAAATATAAATCTTCAGGCTTGGAAAAAATAGGTGAGCATGTATTCTCAATTACCTATTTAGAGAAATATTACAAAACGGTACTGACGGTTAATATCTATATAAAGTAATGCTAAGAATTAATGAGGGAGGTAACTAAAAAAAATTTTCTCCCACAATTTTTATATTTCTCCAGCAAAATAAAATATTTACCAAATTTTTCCCGCAATTTGAAAATTTTGACCTGGCAACTCTGCTTTAACTATAAGTTTGAAATGATTTTTTTCTAGTTTGAAACAAGGCTTTATGGAGATAAAATTCTTAATCACTAATATTTTAAATCTGATTGTCTAGCTTCAATAGCATTGCTAGTTTAGCATTTTAAAAATTGTTCAGGAGACACAAAAAAACAATTCTAATTGTTCCAAGATAAACTACGAGCTTATATATATATATTAGAGATACTCTTGTCTAGATAAATTCATATGTACAAAAATTCAATTTTGTAAAAATATCAGATACCAAGAGTTTGAAGTGCAATCTGACAAAGTGTGTATGGAAAAATTTTCTTTTTGCGATATTTTAAATTACGAAACAATAAATTGAATAGCGAGATTTTTTTATAATTAAATTTTTTAAATGTGTCAAATTTTATTTAAAATTGTTAATTACAAACATAATTTGAATAATATTTTAAAAACTTATAAATAGAAGAAATCATAGAAAAATGATAAAATTTATTCAGTAATTTTCCTTAAAATTTTCTCTAGCTTTTGTTGATACTATAAATCTTCACGGAGAACGTTTGTTGAGCTCAGGTTTTGTTTCGATTATATTTTGGAAATCTTCTTTTGACATTTGTATCTTATTTTATGTCAATTAGTGAATATAGCATAAAATATCAGGTTCAATGCAAAAAATTTTTTTTAATTGATTCAAAATTATGTTGTAAAACCAACAGTTTTGATATAAAATTAGTTAATTATAAAATAATTGAACTTAAACTACTAGTTATAAATTACTAGGTGGTGTTTTCTCTTCCTTCGGCATACATTTTATCAAATTTAACAAGGGGCTTTCGTTTTTATCATTTAGTTCTATTTCATTATCATCTTGAAGAGTTTTTTCATCTTCGCTCATATCCTCCTTCAAAAGATTTGTTAAAACATTTTAAATGACAAAATTATTTAACTTTTTGTTTGTTTACTGCATCTTCGTTTGAAATCATGTCACTTAACTCACTAAATAATGTATTTAAAGAGCGCCTTGGCATAAATATGAAAAAATGTTAAAAGTCAAAGTAAATCATTTTTTTATTTAGTTAGTTTAATGAGTTTCATCCGTCAAAATTTGATATGAATTAAAATTCAAAATAATCCTATTTTGTCTAATTTTCAAAAATTTATTATAATTAATAGGTCCCGGAACAGATTTTTAAAAAAAAATCCGGGTAAGATTACTAAAAAAAAGAAGCTCATGATCAATTATTTACATTTATTTTTACATCATATTTTTAATTTCCTTTTGAAACAATTTATAAATAACATCAAAATTAGGGCTGTGCCGATCCTCATATTTTTCACCGATCCGATATTTGTATTGATTTTTCAGCACCCCCCTTTGAACCAAATGTAATTAAGAAATCAATATTTTTTATGCAAAAATTCTAATTATGCATTTAATTTAATTTTTTTATTTCTACAATAATTAAAAAAAGTTTACAAATATTGATAGTATTAAATGAATTTTTCATTATTCCTCCCCGTGAAATTAGAATTCCGTAGATAGCACATTTTGCAAAATTATCTTTGTCTTTTGTAAAATATTTCCATAATTCAGATACCATATTTAAAATTTTTTTTTATTTAAGCTATAAATAATAAAATTGGCGTTATTATTTAAAAAGATTTAAAATAAATAAAACTTTGTGTTCCTTTCTATTATTATACAAAAACTTTTGATTAACTAAAAATCTATTTTAAAAGATAAGAGGTCAATATAGAAGATGAAGAATAAGTTTGGGTGCGGTTTCATCCGGTGGAAAATTTGAAATGATAGAACTGTATTGTATGGGTTGAATCAGGCAAATATTTTTTGATTTTAATCATATTTATTTACAGATTCTATGAACATTATATCTCAATATTGATAGTAATCATAACTTACACCAAAGAAATTAAATTTAAAATCAGCCATCACCCACCTTTAAAGTAATTAAATTATACTGTAGTTCTCGGGTATAGGCTCTTTTTTTGCCCCACTCATTTTTAATAAGCCTATAGAGGTTTTGTGCCTACAAGTACGTGCGGCTTGCCCACAAACGTGTAGAGGACTCCTCATATTTTTACTTTTATACCCAAATTAAATTATTCCAATTAGATGGAAATGAGGAAAACCTAGCGTAGCTCTGTTGAACCTTCAACGCTAGAGGGCAGAAGCGCTATATATCACGTATCACGTAAAATCTATTTTAAAAAATAAATAAAATTTGTGCATTTGCATTGTTTAAAAAAAAATTATTTAGAAGATATTAATGTGAAATAAATATACATAAAATAATAAAAAAAGAAAAGCAAAAATATCACCGGATCGGTTTTTACAGATATCGGCCCGATCTGATATTTTTGGGAAACGCTAAATATCCAATCCGATATTTAATATCGACACAGCCCTAAATTTTAAAAATCTGAGCTTGTTCATAAAAAAAAATCAAAAACTTTTAAGAGCCGTGCAATAAAATGATAAACAATTTAAAGATTTGAGACGAGTCTGGTAGGGACTAAAAAAGGGAAACATATTTTAAAAAAATCTAGATGGCTTAAAAAAATTAAAAACGCAAGCGAGCCCATAAAAAAAGAAAATTACAAAACCCGCAGGGTTCGCCTCTATTGAACTATTCTACATAACAAAATAGATAACATTGACCTAATATTTTAAACATCTAATTTTGTTTAAAAAATATACGACCTCCATAGAAATTTTTATTGGCCTAGAATAAGGATGCGAAGCCCACACGGAAACGATTTCCCAATATGTTTCTAAAACTATCAGAATTATAAGTGTACCACTAGTAATTATATTCGAAAAGATACTATATGTCATATAATAGGACCCATTCCCCAACAACTTGTGAAACTGGGGAACCTACACACTTAGACTCAACAATTAAATCATTCATGCTGAGAGATTTCCGCACATTAAATTCTCAATTTTACTTATTTACACTAAGTATATCGCCTTCCCCCTCCTCATTTCGGTTAACTTATTTAATCAGACAACACAAGAGAAAAATTAATATAACATAAAATGAACACTTTAAATTATCTATACTATCCTCATCTGTCCACCTCGGATAATCTTCAGATGATATTAATATTCTGGAATCCTTACTCAAAAAAAGCAATTTCATATGATATTTTTAAAACCAATTATTTAAAAAAACACAATATAAATCGGAATAAAGAAAGTAAATCCAATTTT